AAATTTATTATATTTCGTCCACGGAATGCTATAGCATGGATACATATTGTATATATAAAAACTGTCTTGTGTTATTGCTGTGGGGCCTAAACATTATTATTTGATTCAAACTACCGAAAGTCGAAAATGTTGTTTTTTTGTCGGCCTGTACTCTGTAGTAGCCCCTTAATTCACAGGCTGCAATATTTTATTTTACATTATACAAATAATATTACATTCATGCCATGTCTAACTTTTGAATTTTAGGGTTTTTATTTCACCCATTTTTGAGGAACTTGGAAATCTCTATTTTAGTCTAGCTGTCGCGAATGATGTCATTTCTATATTTTGAAAGCATATTTGAAAAATGTATGGATACCTTGTCACTTAAGAGATATAAAGCTACTATTGTGTGGAAAGATTTAGTTGTATCATTATTTTTGTTTGATGTACAGAGGCTTAAAAATCAGTAAAAATCCAGTACTGAGAAACAGCAATAATCATAATTTTAGCCCTCAGCTTGACCCCCTGGAACTTTGCCAAAATGTAATTTGACTGAAAACAAAATGCATTTTAAAACAACCCTAATAAAAAAAGCAATCTCGAATATAAAGTTTGAGAGAAATACATTTCTTGATCCAAAAAGGTCACGAGACTGCCTCTTAAGCCTCTTATTATGTAAGTACAAGAGCTATAGGAAACCTATATTGTCAGTTACCCATAAAAGGCTCTGTAAAAGACCCCCATTCACTAGTCCAGTGTTACCAGCTACAGGAGAAAGATAAACCAACTTTATAAACGAAAAGCGCCTGAATTATTTCATCATTTTTTATTCTTTGACGAGACTGCCACCTTTGAAAATATTTACTCGCTTGTAATGCCATAGATGATTTAATTTATACTTATCAAATTAAACTAAAATATTTCGAGAACTAAAAAAGCGCTAGAAAAGGTAGAAAAGTTGTAGAGTAACTTATTTACAGTTCTACATCTTTCTGCCTAAAATGCTGACTTAAATTTCCTTGCCATTGCAGTAAACCCGCCCGTTTTCATGCCCATGGCCATGCGCAAGTATCACAGAAGACAGGACTTTGTATACATTCAGACAATTACGGCAAAGCTATAACTAACAGACAACTGCCTGTGAAAATTATAAACAGAAATTCAACCGCCAGTTTGGAGCGAAGTCCTTTCGTCAGGAAGTTAGTGATGTTGCCTATGATGTGCATGATCTATGACGAAAGGCCTTAGCTCGAAACGTGGACGTTCTGTTCATATTTTTTCTCTCTCACATATTGCAGCTTTCTATGTCTTGGTTATCATATATATAAGCAGCCCGCCCTGTCAATATCATTCCATTTGAAAAGAAACCGAATTGATTGAAGAAAACCCACGAATTTTGATAGTGTCTCAGCTCGAGTCTCTCGACTTGACTGCTGAACTGAACCGAACATTGAACATTTTTTTAATACTTGACCGATTTAATATGATGCATTTGAATAGCTGCATGGTAGAAGCAACGATACAGTCCCCGCAGAAGATTACACAGACGATACACATACATGCACAAGATACGGCCGACACATTAAACGCACGCCAACTCCGACATTGGCAAACCAAATGAACTGAACTGCTTATTACAGTTTCAGAAATATACATGGTTGTTGAGACTACTGATTATTATGGCAGGGTTTCATTAATTCACGATAGCAAGCTTCAATCAACTGATTGCACATATATCCTTTGATCGTTAATTTACCAAATAAACTGACTTGCCGTTTGAGCGAAACCTCTGATCATTTTCATGCACTCTATAATACTCCCTGCATGCATGCGACTAATATTCTACATCAGAGTTTTCTTGATATTTCCAGCATGACTACCTTAAATCAACTGTCGATATATGCATACATATATTTGAATGATATATTAAACAGAAAATCAGCAAATGAACAGCTGGCTTGCTTCAAGCTTCATGCGCAGCAAAAACTTAATTTGTTGGACAGAATATCAGTTACTCTCTATGGCTGTATGGATAATAGGCCTACAACAAAGTCGGGGGTTTGTTATTATTTAGCTACAATTAATATAACAATCTTAATTCATTGAATGTCTATGCGTGCCTTGATCATTAGCGAACAAAGTAAATGAAGTTCTTACCGTTTCAACAGACAAAATCTGCGGTTGGTAGAATGCAGTTACGATGACAAGTGTACGTGGCACTATTCTGGAGTTAAATGAATGTTTGCGAGTGCAATTAAGCTCAGTTTCAATCAATTGTGTATGTATATTTTGAACAACAGTGCAAGTGTTCACAGACCATAAAAGCAATCGATTTCAAAATAAATAAATAACGCAGAACACGAATATATGAATATGAGGCCCCACAATTATTGAGCTTGCTACGGCACTGGACAAAGTTATAAATGGTGTTTGGGTTAGATTTTCAATATTTGGTCGATAAACGTACAAATATCAGAAATCAAGAATTTGTCTCCAGGAGGCTATAATTAGCCACAGACAAAGCCGCTGCCATGGTCAGTTTCATCACTTCGCGACGGATTTAAAACTGCCCGTAGATAGTTTTGATGGTATAATGACTATAACTCAAGTATTAAAGAACAATTTTATCAATATGGAATGGCCCAGGAGGCTTTAGCTGGCCTGACAGACGTTGTTGAAATTGGCTATTTTTAGTCAAATTTGAGAATTGCATTTTGTCACTGGATTTGAAGGGGAAATTTACTATGTGCGATAATCGTGAATTTGTTTATATTTCATCCACGGAATGGTATAGCATGAGTACATGTTATATATAAAAACTAGCTTGGGTTATTGCCTTGAAGCCTCACGCGAGACTTTTAAAAAAGCTCATTTTGGTGATTTTCAGTGGAATGTAACACAATTAAATCATTAGGCCCATACGTCTATACCAGAGTCACGCAGCTCAAATTGTTCAAAAGTTTGAATTTTGTGTTTCGATATCAATGTATATGCTTTGTATACTTTATAAAGAATCGTTTAAATGGATTTTCAATATATTTTAGTGATAGGCCTACTTACAACAAAAGCACAACAAATCATCATATCATTACTAGACTGTAACGTTGCTATTGATAGCAATTCGCGTGTTGTGACTGGAATGCGTGTATATTTAATATGTCTGCAGTCTGTAAGCTTTTGAAGTCTTATAATTTCTCATTTTTGTTTAATGCTTTCTCTGCATATGTATAAACTAATAGAATTAAAGCTAGGTAAATACAATAAAAGTACATAAGTTGAAAGGTTAATTTACTATTACCCTGGTTCCAGAGGTTTATTTTTATTATTTTCATTGCGAAGGGGAGAGGAAAAATAAACCTCTGGTTGAAAGTGGCAATTAATTCATCGAGCCGCGCCAATCAGTTTGAATTAGGGTCAGATCCTGACTCTGTCTCCTGATTGGATGATTGTATTAAAGCTCTCTGATTGATTCAAATAAAACATCCATAACCAATCAGAGAACTTTAATACAATCATCCAATCAGGAGACAGAGTCAGGATCTGACTCTAATTTAAACTGATTGGCGCGGCTCGATGAATCAATTGCCGCTTTCAACCAGAGGTTTATTTTAAACCTCTGGAACCAGGGTAATTTACTATGTGCGATAATCGTGAAATTTTTTATATTTCGTCCACGGAATGCTATAGCATGGATACATATTGTATATATAAAAACTGTCTTGTGTTATTGCCGTGGGGCCTAAACATTATTATTTGATCCAAACTACCGAAAGTCGAAAATGTTGTTTTTTTGTCGGCCTGTACTCTATAGTAGCCCCTTAATTCACAGGCTGCAATATTTTATTTTACATTATACAAATAATATTACATTCATGGCATGTCCAACTTTTGAATTTTAGGGTTTTTATTTCACCCATTTTTGAGGAACTTGGAAATCTCTATTTTAGTCTAGCTGTCGTGAATGATGTCATTTCTATATTTTGAAAGCATATTTGAAAAATGTATGGATACCTTGTCACTTAAGAGATATAAAGCTACT